CTCGGCCCCTGAGCGAGGGAAGGGGTGGGAGAGAGGGGGTGGGCCTCCCTGGAGTAGTCCCCGCTCCTCGGTCCCTCGCGGGCGTGGAGGCCCCGGAGGCCCGGGGGTCCGGGATGCCCTGGTGCTGGAAGCCGAAGGCCGGTGGGGGTCTTGACCTCGGGGCAGTAGTAGTTTTTCGGATGGGGCGACGTTGCGCTCCGGGAACCCTCCTCCGCTCCTGGGTGTCCTTCTGCTGCAAGGTTTGGGAGCGGAGGTCTTCGATTTCCCAAGAGGGGCGTCTCACCTGTGCTCATAGTCCGAAAGGTTTTTTCAAACCTTTCCCTTATCGTCTTTATCGCACAGGGTTAAGCTTGAAAATGCTAGTGAGTGATGGAAAAAATAGTTAACGCTTTGTGACGGCATTTTTCAGAATGCAGGTTGCATACATCCACTCCCTTTCAGTGAGAAAGGTACCATTCCTTTCTCCATTTACGGTGAAGGAAGCAGCAAAACTCAGTAGTTTACTCAAGGCCAGAGGGAACGGGTAGCGGTGGGATTTGAACGTGACCAACAGTAGAGACCAACTTTTAACCACTTCGCAGGACTGCCTTTCCAAATAGCAGTTTGTATTGTTACCTTGTTATTCCAGCACACTGAACCCTGTCAGTGGGTGAGTCTTTGGCCAACTTTCACGGACAAACCAGGATCCGAAAGGATGTTGTTTCCCAAGTCTACGAAGCTGTGATCAGTGATTTCCGTGTATCTTAAGGATACCTAGAGGCAGATCTGAGCAGCCATAAACCCTCTCATTTCACAAATGACAAAACTGGGAGTTACAGCGGTCACATCCACTATACTCTGCACCATATGCTTCTCCCTAGATAAACCAAAACTAGATGTGCCTGTTTCGCATTTAAATGATAGCTATTAGTTGGTTTTTGTTTTAATGTCCTTGTTATCCCCTAACCAGATGGCTGATGCCTATTTGTACTTTAAATTCCAGTTTCCTGTCAACCAGTCCCCACACAGTTAATCACTAGCTCTTTTCACACACACAGATAAAACTTCTCTTAAAATTTACATTCTCTGCTAGTTCAGAGATGTTTTTTCCCACTTATCTGGATGGCTAATTTAAAATAGATGAAGATGAGACCAATTAATTAGAGACAGTCAAGCTCTATGTTATGGCCAACTTATAAAACAGTCAAAATGATTTTGCTTTTTCCTTTCTCTGATTTTTTAGCTAAAAGATACCTACTTTCAGATAATATTGTGAAATTAAAAGAATTTCAGCATAAGAAGGTGGCTGTTGCATATAATCTTCCTGGCACCAAAGGTAATAGAATCTATTTTGTTAATTCTTTCATCAATCTGTCATTCAGATTTTCTGTGTCTTTATTTCCACTCAGTCTCTCTTTCCAGGACCTTATTTTTTCTTGGTTTCCTAGTCTACCTTTGCATTCACCTTACATCTCACATTCTACTGCTAAAAAGCCTACACCTTTCCTCTCATCTCCTCTCATATGATCTTAGAGAAATACTAAAGCTAGTGCCGTGACTAGCCCCCTCTAGATCTGTGCCACTCAAAGTACAGGTCAAGGACCAGCAGCGTCAGCTGCTATTGGGTGGCCGATAGAAATGCAGATGGAAAGGCCCCAGATTATTTATATACAGTAAAGTTTAAGAGCTCCAGATGGCTGGCTTTCAAATATTTTTAGGTAACCCTCAGTGAAAAAGGAATTTTGTGTTGCATTTCCACGGTACAAGTATTTATATATATGAAATCAAATTAAATACAACCTACTATGTGTGATAATGCGTTGTAAAAAGTCAGTACGGTCAAAGATTTCTTTAAAAACAGGAGAAACTTAACTATCAAATCTGAGATTTGCTTTGGAGAAAAATTCCAGTGTGTTTGGGAAGTGTAGAGGAAACATCATTAACAAAGTATTGTTTATTGTTGAGCCTGGGCGATAGGCACTTGGTGGGGAGAGTCATTATATAGATCTCCCTATTCTTGGATATGTTTGAAAATTTTTGTTATAAAAAGCTAAAAACATGAGACCACCACCCTAGGCTCCATTTTCTTTCAGACTCTGAGAGATCTTGTTGCATATATTCATTCCCTCCCTTCTGCATACAGAGTTCTTCCTAGTACTAGAAACTTATTTATTGCGTGTGGGTGCATAAGTGGTCATGGATGTCATGGATGCTCCCTCTATGAACTAAGACTTTCCTGTCTTTGAATAACTCTCATTGTCCCTATTGACTGTTCCAGCTATGGACCCAGCTCTCCGTGAGCACCTGAGTAACACTTCTTGCCCCCATTCCCTCGGGTCCAGTCCTCCAGAAATCATTGTTGCCTTGTTGCTTCTCTAGTCATAATGCCACCTACAAGACAAGATGATAAACCTTAGGAGTTGGGGGGAGAGAGTGTATTTATCTCCAGTATAGTAGACTCAATCTAGATTTCACTCCAGTTCTTTTTTACCCCAGGTATTGTGGAGCTCTGTGAAGTTTGTAGTTAGGGATCCATGTCAGTGTCTAGTTGGTATTTCCAATTGTCGTAGACTTCACAAGGCCATGACAGTTATGCATATGTTCTGAAAGGCAGTTAATATTCGTATTATCAATCCATTGTCAGACTGCTGTTTGTAAAAGCCTGTCAAACTTTTAGGAACACACAGTTGTACTCTGTTGAACACCACACTATGGCCGTACTCACCCCCTGGCTTCCTAGCTCTCCTCTAAGGGACCCTACCCTTTCTGGAGTCCAGTGTGGTTTCTAGTTAATCTAGTCACGGCCCTTTCCTTTATACCTTTCACTCCCAGTTCTGTCCTGTTACTCATGTTACTCGTGCTCATGTTCCCATGCCTAGAATGCCCCTCTCCTCCGTTTCTCCAGCCCTGTTCTGCCCTTTTCTTCCTCGCCGCTACCCCTCCATTTCCACCAAACCTGGTTGGCTCTGAGTCATAATAGGTGTGGTCATAGGACTCTTCTGTCTGTTATGTTTATAGTCATTCACATGGCACCTCCTCTGTCACTGTTTTCAGGTAGCTTTGTGTAAATATGTCTTGTCTTTCTGAAGACACTTAAAGCTCTTTAAGGACTGGAACTATACCTTATCCTTGGTGTCTCCCACACAAAGAAGGATACTTCTGAGTATGGTTATATGATAATCACTTAAGTGATTGATTTGTTTTAAATCAAATGGTGATTGATTTGTTTTAAAACACAAGTTACATCTTTTGAGATTTTGGATTCTTAAGGTTTAAAAAGGATTAAGAGGTACAAGATGTAGTTATCTCCTTGAGATCGTTTAGATTGGAAATTGCTTAGAACTGTTCAACAGACTAAATCCTCTAGATCTAACAAGTGACAGAAGGAATGAAGACCATAATGTCTCGACTTACTGGCAGTTTTTGTATACTTTACATACATTGTCTTGGGTCACCCCGCGGGGTAGTGTCACCATCCTCACATTGAATATGAGGGATCAAGTTTCAGGCCAGGTTCTCCCCCGGAGCATGCAAGACGCCAAGCCTGGATTTCAACCCAGGTCCTTCCAGCTCTAAAACCTTCAACCATTATGCGGTTCTGCAGATAAGGACTGGAAGATTCACTGCATTATCTCAAACCTAGTGGGTCTCTCTTCTTGTAAATTGAGAACAGTGTCTGCCTCTGCTTTGAGCTCTTGCCTTTTTAATGCTACTCCTTTCAGCAGCATCTTTCAAAGCTCTGGGCCTTGGAACAAATCCTGCAGATATTTCTTGGCAGCTTTTGATACTGACAACAGTTCTTCCTTCTGGAAAGCAGATGCTTGCTGCCTCGCATCTCACCCCACATTTTGGTGAGAGTCCAGCCCCTTCCTGATGCCAGCAACAGTGCTTTTTTTTAGTGTTTGACTGTCCCCACAGTTAATCAGATGTGAAGACAGGGGTAGTAATAGATTGTGATGACCTTGAAATGATTCTGTCACTAAAGAGTGTTTGCTACTGTTTAGAGGACTGTCCCCCATCCCTGCCCATTACGTATTATAGTATTATGGCATGCTTTCAAACAACTGAGTGGAGAGACCAAGAGGAAGGACAGAAAGGTGAAGCTGAATCCAATGAAAGAAACATGAAGAATTCCTGAATCACACGGACAACCTTTGTGGATAAACCCACCTTCAACTCACCTTTTCTTTTTAGTGTTTCTGTTTGGTGCTCTGCCAATTGATGCTTTAGATAGCTGACTACATTTTCGTTCTTGTTCTCTATAGATTCAGTTATTTGGGTCAAGCCACTGGGATAGTAGTTCTCAAACTTTCGTATACCCAAGGGTCACCTAGGGAATAAAAAAATGCCTATCCTTGTACTCCTACCCCCAGAGATTCTGTTTTAGAGAGTCTGGAGTGGGCCTGGGTCTGTGCCATGCCCCTTGTGACACACATGCTTCACCTCATGGCCGTCTACTGACACTCGCTGCTCAAAGGAGATCAGCCAGTGATGGGAGCTGCGTGTCCATGAGCCCCTCGGTGTCCCTTTGCAGGGAGCAAGGTTCAGGCTTCCCCTTTCTCCTTGAGGCTAGATTCCTTACAATCTCAGTCAGCCTGAGTGATGGCCACCACACTGTGCTTTCTCCTAGAAACTTATTTTAGAAACTTGGAAGAAAAACTGACCCATAATAAACTCATCTTGAAGGAGGAGTTGAGAACCTTACTTCATTTGTGTGAATTCCGGGATGATATGGAGCTGGCTAAAAATGTCATTTACAGGTGAGACATTTCTTTAGAATTCAACCACCTTCATCTTTTCTTACTCTGTTCTTTTCCCTGAGCAGTCTCATCCATGATCACCTCTATACTGATGCCTTTCAGATCTCTTGTCTAAATTCCTCCCTTGAACTCCGGCATTTACATTTGTTCATTGAGCAAACACTTACTGGATTCCTACTATGCCAGGTGCTGAGGATGAGAAACAGATCATTTCAGAGTTTGTTCCTTTGGATCGAACAGTCAACCAAGGTCTTTATCTGGAAGTTTTTAGAAGGCTGCATCACGATTTACAGAAGAAACGTCCTGAGTTGTGCCAAACAGGTGGTTGGTTCTTCCACCATGACAGTGCTCCGGCTGAGCATCCAGCAGTTTTTGAGCAAAGACGGCATGACCCCCGTGCCCTACCCGCTCTTGGCCGTAGCAACTGTTTTTTAGTTTCCCTAGAAGAAAAAAGTCCTCAAAGGGATACATTTTGCCAGTGTGGAATGGCAGAAGAACTAAAAGGCATCAAAACTGACAAGTTTAAAAACTGTTTGGGGCAGTGGAAAAAGCATCTCAATAGGTGTGTTGCATCAAGCGGAGAGTACTTTGAAGGTTACCGAAGTTTGAACGTGTAAGCAAAAATACACAATTTTTTAATAAATAAGTTGTTTTGGGGTTCCTCCTTTGTATTTGGAGCCCCTTTTCCTGTTGCCTCTTCCTTCTTGGTATCTCTCCGCTCCAGCCCTCTCATCTCTGGTCCTGATACCAGTGTCCTAGTTCAGACGTCAGCGTCTCTCACTTGGATCACTGACAAGTCTCCCTCCTCCAGTCTTATGCCTGTTGGACCTTTCTGCTCCAATACTAGACTCTCCCTTAGCAGAGAAAACGGCCTGCTGCTGGGAAAACCAGCAAAGCTTTTTCTTACCAGGGAGCAGTGTAATATCACATCAGCAGGCTTCATTTCTGAAATTAAGTTTTCACCATTCTTTAAAGGTATATTTCTGTATTGTGAACCTGCACTTATACTGTGCGTTTACTTATTTATTTTGAGTTGGCATCTCACTCTGTTGCCCAGGCTGGAGTGCAGTGGCACAATCACACGGCGTGACCTCCTGGGCTTAGGATCCTTCAATGTCAGCCTCCTGAGTAGCTGGAATTGTAAGCTTATGCCACCATGCCTGGCTAATGTTTTTACTCTTTTTGTTAGAGACAGGGTCTTGCTATGTTGCCCAGGCTGGTCTCAAACTCCTGGGCTCAAGGGACTCCTGTCTTGGCCTCCCAAAGTGCTGGGGCTATGCGCATAATACAGGCCACCATGCCTGGCCTATATTGTACATTATAGAGAAATACAAGATAACCATATGGGGAATATTGGAAGATTATATACCAGAAGTTTACTATGGTTCTCTGGAAATTACAGATTGTATATTTTTTGCTTGTCTAAATGTCTGATTTCTCCAATTTGTCTATAGTAGACCTTATTAATTTTACAATATAAGAAAAATTTTTTTAAAGCAAAAGAAAAAATTATAAAACCCCTTGAAAATTTTAAAACACCAAAAATGTAGAAAGAAGAAATGTATCACAAACTCTGCAGTTTCAGTTGTTTGTTGCTGCATAACCAGCCACACCAGCGTGGCTCAAAACAATGACTTATTTCTCACAACTCTGTGGGTCAGGAATTAAGGCCCATCTCCACTGGGCAGTTCTTTGTTGGATCAGCTAAAGTCACTCCTTCCTCTGTAGTCAGCTGGCAGCCAGGCTGTGCTGCAAGGTCCCGAAGGCCTCTCTCGTGTCTCTGGCGCCTCGGTGCGCCTCCACAGGTCCCCTCGCTCTCGCTGGTATGCTTCCACTCATTTATCTACCTTGAACCGCACTAGCCCACGGAGCAAGTTGGAGCTGCCAAGCCTTGTAGAGAATTGGCAGGCTGCCTGCCCAGACCAAAGTCAAAGGGAAGGGAAGTGATCCACCCTGGGTAGGTGGATCAGCATGTATGTATAGCAGGACGGATGCTGGCAGTTGTCATTGGCTCATCTCGTACAACTGAGAAACCATTGTTAATATTTTTGTGTATTTTTTCACCGCTTTTTTTTTTTCCATGCAAAGATTTTGTGGTTCCAGTAGGTTTTCTTCTACATAGTTATAATTACTACTGATTATATAACAATATTTTCTAACTTTTAAGTCGATACTATAGCATAAATATTTTTCCTTGTTAACCATAGACTTAGGAATCATTTTAATGGCAATACGATATTTTAAGTTAGTATTTTAATTAACAGCACCCATATAGCTGGACATTTAAATTATTTCTAATTTTTCACCAGTATAAATAATGCCATGATGATCAACTCTCTGCATAAAACTTACTTTTTGTTTCCTTTTAGGGACCAGAGGTTATGAACTTTTTAAGACTTATCACTATAACTATCAGATTATTTCCCAGAAGGGTTATGATAGTTTACAGTTACACTGTATCAGCAAACTTAATTCTGTAATTCAGTTTCACAGAGTTAAACCATTTGAGACACTCTGGCCTGTTTTCCTCTCACTCTGTTTGCTACCCAAATCTAGATGTTTGCAAGAGTAGCAGAACAGGATAAAACTTCTGAACACTCTTTCTACCCTTAGTTTTATCATAAACATTCCAAGTATGACTTATAATTCCTTTACTGATGGTAATAACTCTACCCGGTTGCTGACCTTCCCCTCTCTACTTGTGGCCAGCTGGACTTTGGGCAGATGGGTAGATCCATAGGCCAGCCAACTTATTCTGTTCCTTCCTGAGTCCAGCAGCCCACGGCTGGGAATGAAGTCCAGAGCAGAAACATAAGCTATTTGTTCAGCCAAAAATGGAGAACAGCTTAATCCCTTTATAATGTTGATCAAATGCTGTTGTTTGGTTAATAGAGGGACTTTAGATCCACTTGCTTAAACATTACTTGTCCAGAAGGCAATTCATCATCTCATTGACTTTTATTAGTGTGAATAGCATTTAGAATGTGAACGTCAAATCCAAAAACTTTTATTTTTGTGTTCTTTTGCTTTTAATCTGGCACCAGGTTTCTCATAAGAATATTTACTGAAATACGTTGATTCAAAAAATGTTTTCCTTGGCATGCCTTACATTTTACACGAGCTAACATATATTGAGGATTTGCTGTTTGCCTGACATGTCGTCTCGTTTAGTATACACACACACACACACACACACACACACACACACACACACACATTCTTTGAGTTGGATTCTCTTCTCTCCATTTTACAGGCAAGGAAACTGAGGCACAGAGTGAATAATTTGCTCATGGTTACACAGTTTGTAAGTAGAAGAAAAGCTGGGATTTATATCATCAGTTTGAAATCAGAGTTTAAAAACTCTTAATCACTATACTATATTACTTTCTAATAATTTATTTTATAAGTGTTGTAATGAAGCAATGAATATTATGTAACTTCTGTAATTGGATCATGAAATATATCTTCAAAACTACGTGTCATTCTGTTTGGCAGTACATATGTTACGAATAGACTATCCATAATGTTACTCTGACTTTCCTCTGTGATTTTAGCTGATGGTATTAATGGAAAGTATTCTGTTTTGTAGTCAGAGCTTTTCTCCAAGATATACTAGACTTATTCATTATATGAATCATTCATTATGAATCTTCCTAAAACCTGGTTTACATGTAATCATGAGGTATTTCTTTTGTCACCAGATTGTCTGCTTGGTGTCTAAAGCAGAGAGAGTAGGTTATTGAAAGTAAATTTATGGCCGGGCGTGGTGGCTCAGCCTGTAATCCCAGCACTTTGGGAGGCTGAGGCGAGTGGATTGCCTGAGCCCACGGGTTCGAGACCTACCTGGGCAACTTGGCAAGACCTTGTCTCTACAATTAAAAAAAAAAAAAAATCAGCCAGGCGTGGTAGTGCACACCTGTAGTTCCGGCTACTTGGAAGGCTAAGGCGGAAGGATCGCCAGAGCCCAGCAGATCAAGACTGCAGTGACCGGGAGCATGCCACTGCACTCCAGTCTGGGCGACAGAGTGAGGAGTGAGACTCCAACTAAAAAAAAAAAAAAAGTAAATTTATACTCGTGATTTAAGTAGAAGAAAAGCTTCTGACTGGCAGACTGACTGCCTATAGAAATCTCAAGCCACATATAAGACATCGTTGTCTTTGAAATTAGCCTTTTCCTAAAACTTAAAAGTTCAGGACTTCATTTAACTTGTTTGACTAGGTGATCATAGCTTACACTGCCTCTCCACAAACTCACAAAGGGAGAGAGATTGCTGTCAGTTGTAAATGCATCTGTTGGTTGTCTGCCCTCTTGTGTGGGGATGTAGCCAGCTTTCAGGGGCACAAAACATCATCCCATCCCTCTCCTTTGTTCACTCCTGGGTGGGGTCCATTCTGATGGACTTGCAGAGGCAAGACGCCTGCTGTTTGCCAAGGGATGCTCAGACCCTTAGTCTCAGGGGGTTGTTACTAAATTTGGAGAATGACTACAGTGTCTGTTCTTCCTCCAGTTTATTTCACAGGATATGTCAGCCTCTAACAAGCCCTATTTGCATATTTGTTTGCTTAAATGCCTTGTATGATTCGGCATCCCAGATTTCCTCCGAATGTCTTCAGATCTCCACTTCACTCCCCAGACTGTGAGCGTACCTCATCCTTTGTTGTTGTGTCCCCAGCACCTAGCACGGTGCATGCCATGGTCTCTGTCTGTCCTTTTTGCTGTGTCCTACCTTTTGGCTCATTAAATCCTTTTGATTACCAGGTACCATGCAGAGAACAGAAATGTCACTTTGGGGGAATATAAGTTTGGACCACTTTTCATGAGGTTGTGTTACGAGTTGGATCTGGAGGAATTTGCATTGGAGCTCATCAAAGACCAGGTTACTGTTTTCTGATTGCTTTCTCTGTCAGTGTGATGGTATTTCTGGTGATATTAGGGAAGGCTTCTCTTTCCAAACATGTTATTCTTGAGTTAGATTTTCAGAGAGAGGCCCCTAGGCTGAATGAGCTCTTCCCTGCATTGTTAAAGTTTCCTTGGAGAGTTTGTGTGGGGTAGATCTCTACTGTTCTATAGACCAGGTACAGAAGAGGCGTAGGTACAGATGACAAGGAATCTACAGGGCAGACATCCGCTCTTTTCGGAGCATTCAGTGGTGAATGGTTTAAGACAGGCTGCCGTTTGAAGACTGGCATTCCTGCCCTTTTTCACTTGTGCTCCCTCTCAATTTTGTATTTGTATTTTCATTTCTGATTAAAGGTTATGTTTATAAAGTACTTTCCCATTTCGATATACTGTCATATATTCTGACTTTTTCTAAAAACAAAAATAGTTTTATTTGTTTCCCACAGTAACCCTGGTGAGGTAGATACTATTATTATTTCCGTATGAGGAGACTGGGATATAGAGACATTATAAATTTATACATGGTCAGAAACATTTGTTAAATTTTGAGGATTTGGGGGCTGGGGCTAGCCACCAGGTACATTTTAGTTATTTAGGAACCTAAAAACAAACTAAGTTGTTTTTCTGCCTCTCACTCTTTTTCATATCACATGTTCTCTGAGTATGGTGGAGCTGTAAACTCTAGGCTTATCCTTCTTTAAGGTCACCTGTGTATTAGAAAGATGACTATAATATATGAGTAAGCAGAGGAAAAGCAATTTCAGAGCAGTACAGATAGTTTTCTAAGAAAGAGAAGAAATACACATGTAATTACCTTTTAGTATATATGTATTTAGAATCTGGAAAGATATGTACTAAACACTACTTATCTTTAGGGAATAGAATTATTAGAAAGTCACACTTTTTTACTTTATACGTTTTTGTGTTGACTATTTTTTAATAAATATGTGTTAATATTGTAATTAAAAGAAAACAAAAGTTTCACTGTAATAAATCATAGCTGTTTGACAATAAAAATAAAAGAAAAATGAAGGTAAAGTTTTTTCTAAAACCTACTTGTATATGGAAAATTCATGTGTAATAAGTTATCTGGAGAAGAACGAACCAAATGAAAATAAGTGACATAAGGCCTAATCTTGCTTCTACCCTCACTTGTGTTCCCTGCTCAAAGCCCTGCAATGCTGCCAGTGTGGTAACCACTAGCCACATATGCTTATCAAGTCCTTGGACTGTGGCTAGTTCAAATTTTCATGTGCTGTAAGTGTAAAATATATGATGGATTTTAGATACTTGGCATAAAAAAGAAAATGCAGAGTATCTTAATAATTTTTTGTATTGATTACATGTTGAAATTATATTTCGGATATAATGAGTTAAATAGTTTAATCTATTTATTTCTACTTTATTTAATGAGGCTACTTGAAAATTTAGATTCATGTAAATAACTCCCACTGGTGACTTGAATACCTTTCCGTTAGGTGAGGCTGTCCTAGTGGCTTTCCGTAAGACTTAGAAGAAAACTCAGATCCCTGACCGTGACCTAGAGGGCTCTTTGTGCCATCTCCTCTCCTCCTACTCGCCCCTTGTCACTTTGCCGTAGACCTGCTTGTTCTTCCTCAGCTGTACCAAGCTCATGGTTTCTGATGGAACGCTGTGGGCCCTCATCCATGAGCCTCCCTTCTTGAACTCATTGGGTCTCAGAGCACCTTCCCTCACCACCTTCCAACTGTCTCCTCTATGTCTCTATCCTGCTTCCTTGTTCTACGTAGCCCTTACTGATACCTGAACTTCTCATTGTATTGTTTTAATGACTTGTTCATTGTCTTTCTCCCCCACCAGAATTTAAGCTCCACTGGATTATAAACCCTATGAGAGCTTGGGGCAGGGTATATGTCTTGTTTATTAATTCTTTATTCTCAGCACCTAGAACAGGGTCTGCGTAGTAGGCACTCCGCTGAGCAAGGCATTTAAGGACACATTTGGATATTATGTGTCACATTATCATAGCACTCAAAATGTTGAGAAGATGTAGGGGAGACGGTGGTCAAAGGATACACAAATTCAGTTAGTAGGAATAATTTCTACAGATCTATTCTACAGTATGATGCCTGTAGTTATTAATATCTTCAAAGAAAGTAGATTTTAAGTGTTCTCACCACAAAACATAAGTACGTGAGGTAATGCATATGTTAACTGGCTTGGCTTAGCCATTCTACAATGTATACATTGAGAAGATAACACATATGCTAAATATATACAATCTCTATTTTTTAATTAAAAAATAAATAATATACATACAAGTTGGGAAAAAACATTGAGAACCACTGTTTTAGTGAGTTATTTCAAAAAGTCATAATCAGTTCTGCAGCTCCTGTTTGCCAGTGCATGAGGGCCTCCTGCCTTAGTTCTCAGGTACATGGATCGTTGCCCTTTCCTGTCTGGAACTGGCCCCCAGGTTCCAGGACCACCCTGGAAGGTTGTGGGCTTGTTTCTTTTTCTCCTCAGCAAAGCAGAACCACATTTCCTAGAGGAATCTTTCAAGGCTTATGAATCGCAGAGGCCTCCCTATACCTCTTGCCTGTTGTTCAGTGCGCATTCTCAAAGGCATGAGAGCCAAAAGAGTGGGCCACATTTCAGCTTCTTTAAAAAACAAACCCTTGGTAGGCCAAATAAATAAAGTATGCAGGAAAATAAGACCTGGATAGATCAGATACTATGTAAGCACCCCCTTAGTAGCTTTAACCTAACGGTATTATTTTTCTTCATTAGCATCTGCGAGGTTTCTTCCCAGACTCTACATCGTTCAATATTTTGATGGATATGTTATTTATCAAAGGCAAATATAAAAGTAAGTACTGCAATTTATGTTTGCTAAAAAATTCTGTTGTCTTCACTGGTATAGAAATCAGGGGGGGAAATGGGTCATGCAAAAATTGTCCTTATATTCCTGATGACTGGCTGAATTTTGGAGACCTCATTTTCTTTTCTTTGTTGAGACAGGGTCTTACTCTGTTGCGCAGGCTGGAATGCAGTGGCACAGTCATAGCTCCTTGCAGCCTTGAACTCCTGGGCTCAAGAGATCCTCACACCTTAGCCTCCTGAGTAGCTGGGACTACAGGCACACGCCACTGTGCCCAGCTAGTGTTTAAATTTTTTGCAGAGATGGAGTCTCGCTATGTTGCCCAGGATGGTTTCAGAACTCCTGACCTCAAGCGATCCTCCTACCTCCGTCTTCTAGAGTACTGGGATTACAGATGTGAGCCACCACACCCAGCCTTGGGACCTCATTCTTGAAGTTTGAAAACATTACATTGCATGTCATGCTTTATTTAAACTAATCATTCCAAGTTTTACTTGTGCCAAAATCGTAACAGGCCTTAAAATATTAGTTCTTCTGTATGACCTGGTAATTTATTTTAACATTTAGCTAACCACTAAATGACTTAGAGAAATAGCTTTTATTATGCTGAAATACACTTCTCAGTAGGTGGTGTTGAAAAGATAAGAGCTTGGGAGACCAACAGTGAGGGAACTCTGACCTTGCTAGAACGCATTTAACACTGCTGGTCCACTCACTTTTGACAGGTGCTTTGGAAGTATTGATAGAGATGAAAAACCAAGATGTGAAGTTCACCAAAGATACTTATGTCCTTGCTTTTGCAATTTGCTACAAACTGGTAAGACTATTTCTGTTTAATTTTCAGAGCATTGTGGGTGGTGTCAGAGAGAGGATTTATGTTGCTCTACAAATAAAATTCAGTTCCTCTAAAGTCTGTTTTCCATCTGGCGCAATTATTTTAATTTTGAATGTATTTCTCTTTAGAAAACTCAAGTTACCCACATCAGTTTTATCATGGGAAAAGTAAGTTTATTATCTTTTCCCCTCCTCTGGTGATTGTGTAGATAGTGAGATCAGGAGGCAATATGTTGGTTTCAGGCTCTGCCTTAGAGCCATCTTGCATGCTGGCCTCCACCAGGTCCTTCTTCCTTGTTGCCCTCTTCTGTGGAAATCTTAATAAGTAGTAGGTTCAAGGACTATTTTGTCCTCATCTGTGAAGCTTTTTGTAATCACCAAAGTTGGAAGTGATGTTTATTTCCAAACATCCCCAATTGTGCTTTATTTGTGCCACCTACCTGGTGCTTCTAACATGGCCTGATGCTGTACTTAGTAGAGGCAGGTCACAATTTCCCCACTAGAGTGGAGCTTTGTGAGGCTTCTTTGTAGCCCTTATACAGTGCCTAATACCTTATAGGTCTTTAATAATGTATGTGGCATTAAAGTAAACTCTTTGAGGACAGACACCATGAATTGGAAGTCCTTATTACAGTATCAGGTTTATTTCTTATATGTAGAAACTATTTCTTCAATATTTATTGAATGAATGAATGATAACTGAAATGTGAAATGGCCAATGTTCAATGTATTACTGTAGTCATTTGTATTATTTAAACTTTGAAAACCTGGAAAACAAAACCTATTTATAGTGAAAACAAAGGAACAAAGCAAGGTAGCATGGACCATTGAAAAACTCCCCTAAAGAGCCTAGCACTACTGACTGGACAAGGTGGCTCATACCTGTAATCCTAGCATTTTGGAAGGTCAAGGCAGGAGCATCACTTGAAGCTAAGAGTTCAACCTTGGTAACAAAATAAGATTTCATCTCTACAAAAAATTTAAAAAATTATCTAGGCAAGGTGGTGCATGCCTATAATCCCAGCTACTTGGGAGACTGGGGTGGGAATATTGCTTGAGCCCAGGAATTTGAGGCTTTCTCAGCTTTCATCATTCCACTTCACCTCTAGCCTGGATAATACAACAAGACCCTGTCTCTTAAAAAAATAAAGTTTAACAATAACAGTTTTCCAAAACAAGGAGTCAGCTAGGTACAGTAGAAAGAAAACCAACTGGAAGTTGAGAAACACGGAGTCTAGTCTCAATTTTAGTATTAACTGGCTTATTTAATTTAGCTTTGAATGGATCACTTATCTCATTTGTAAAATGAGAGTGTTAAATTCAGGAGGCAGTAAACTTTGTATAAAAGGCCATATAGTAAATATTTTAGACTTTGGGGGCCACATATGTCTCTGCCACTTACGGTCTTTGCCACATAGTCTTTTATGTTTTTGTTTTTACAAGCCCTTAAAAATGTAAATCTAACCATTCTTAACTGCAGGCTGAATTTGGCCCTATGGTCATAGTTTGTTGGTTCCTGGGTTAGATAATCCTTTCCAGTCATACAGTTCTATGATTCTGGAAGGCCAACAAAACACACAGCATGAGAGCATCAGTTATGCAGCACTGTGATTTCCAGTTTTCTTGTCTGCTGTCCTCTCATCAAATTCAGACTTCATTTTGAGGATTTGGGTTGTGATTCATGTCATGACAGATAGACATAATGCACAGCTGCTGCTGTTCCCAAACCTCATCTACATACAATATCCACAAAGAAAGAGGGTTTGGTTTTTATCTTGCTGGTTTATGCGTCACTCACATTCCTAGACTTTTTTATTTTGAGAGACAGGGTCTTGTTGTGTCGCCCAGGCTGGAGTATAGTGTCCTGATCACGACTCACTGCAGCCTCAAGCTCCTGGACTCAAACATCCTCCTGCCTCAGCCTTCCAAATAGTTAGGCTACAGGTGCACGCCACCACACATGACTGATTTTTTAAATTTTATGTAGAAATGAGATCTTGCTATGTTTCCCAGGCCAGTTTCAGACTCCTAGGCTCAAGCAGTCCTCTTACCTTAGCCTCCCAAAGTGCTGGGAAATCAGATGTGAGCCACCATGCCTAGACTTTTTTAGGTTTTTGTTATCACAGGATTTTTTTGTAATTTATGTGCAAACCTAGTGTTCAATATTTGACTTATGTGGATATTTTCAGATTGGAAATTCCCCTGAGGAAAGGTTTCCTAGTGTTGTTGAGCCTTACTTTACATTTAATATAGTCACCGTAAAACCTTTATACTTTCCTACTATGGAGCCTGTGTCTAGTAACTAGCCTGCCTGCTCAGGTATATCAGCCTGTTGACTGATGAAAACTTCCCCAAGTCAGAAAATTGACAAAGAGCTTAAAAGCAAAGTTAATTTAGATTTGAGCTGCTAACATAACCTTGTCTATTTGTAAATTGTCTCTATATGGAGCTTCACCTTCTAAGTGACTTGAGATAGGCTTTGAGAAATTCTTACAAAAGGAAATCTGAAATACTGAGCACTATTAATCATTTTATTTAAAAAAAAAAAAAGGTTTATGATAATCCTGTCTCCTCACAGAATAGCCCTGAATCTTTCAAAATCTGTACTACATTGAGAGAAGAAGCCCTAATAAAAGGAGAAGTTCTTTCCAGGAGAGCATCCTGTTTTGCTGTGGCTTTAGCTCTGAATCAGGTAAGGCTCTGGTATGCCCAAGTCACTTGGGCGCGGCAGGACTTTACTCCTTCCTTTTTTTTTTTTGCTTGTATTTTTTTCCTTCTGACTGCATCGTGAAGAAGAAATATCCATAGAGACCAGTGCCTTTGTTGCCTTGGCAATCTACATCTATACCTATGCCTGCAAAGAATGGTTTCATTTACAGTTGAGGACCTAGCACATATTTATACTTAGAAGGGATCGGCCAAGATCCAGTGGAAAATCAGGGAAGGAAGCCGCAGTCTGAGAGAAATTTCTCAGATGATTTAAAATGAAAATGGCAAATGATCAGCTTACCTTGTAACATTCTCAGAGAGCAGTTTAATGCTCTCCAGAACTGAATTTGCCTCTGATGAATGAGGAGCCCTGGGTCAGCCCATCGTAGATGTGGGGCCCATCATATATTTCCTAGTTGGACTCCACTATTACTTGGATAAGGCTTCAGTGATCATTTAGCCTCCTCCTCACCGGACAGGTGGCAGCAGCTGAGACTCAGAAAGAAGAGAGGACTTCCCTGAGGTCAACCTCAGTGAAGAATTAGAACTGAAACACTGGAACATCCCCTCTCTCAAAGAGCCCCTCCTTTAAAATCCTATTCCAAGGCTTTTACAAATATGAAATACTTCACATATTTTCTGTGTAGTAACAGGAAATTTTATAGCAGAAAAATAGTAACCAAACCAGATTATTTACCCAGCTGGCAAAATATAACTGGAGAACTCTTGTTTATCGTTACATTGGACATCAAAGGCGGGCTCGGTGGCTCAGCCTGTAATCCCTCTCCTTTGGGAGGCTGAGGGTGAGTGGATTGCCTGAGCCTGCAGGTTCGAGACCCGCCTGGGCAGCGAGACCTCATCTCTACAATAAATCAAAAAATCAGCCGGGCATGGTAGCGCATGCCTCTAATTCTGGCTACTCGGAAGGCTGAGGCAGAAGGATTGCCGGAGCCCAGCAGGTCGAGGCTGCGGTGGCCGGGAGCGGCCACTGCACTCCAGTCTGGGCGACAGAGTGAGACTCCAACTCAAAAAAAAAAAAAAAAAAAAAAAGTTGGACATCAAAGTAAGTATGAGGGAACATGAGTTTCATATATGGCTGGGAAAAGTCACTGAAGGACAAAGACTTGAGAGGATACACATTTACCAGGCTTCCACTGGACCATGATCGTTTCATTAAGTTTCTAAGCTTCCCTTTCTGTCCAAAGGAATTGTTCTGTTCTATCAATCATGAGCTGAGCGAGATGAATTAAATTCTCTTCTAAGGCATGTGTTTCTATTTCTTTTTATAACTCCTGTAGTTTTTCCTTTACTCATGTGTAAGTTATAATATTTGGTGTACAAATAATATCATTGTGTCATCATTGTGAATCTCTCACCGTTGCATTATAAAATGCCATTCCTGGTCATGCTTAATGCTTTTGCCCTTAATCCAATGTTCTACTAATACCTTCATCACTGTTTTTGTTTGTTTCTTTGTTTCAACCAGGTTTACATTTGCCTGATATACAGCTTTTCCTTTCCTTTTTTTTTGAATTGTTTTGTCTTAGGTGTGTCTCTTCTACACTGCATAAATTTCATCTTTACTTTATAATATGATGCTAATCTTTCAGTATAACTCATTTATATTCATGTGATATATATTTGCTCTTGGGTCTCATTCTATTAGACACTTTCTGTTTTTATAACTTTTAAACTATTTTATGCCATGTGATTATTTTTTATGATTTGTATTTTTACTACAGTGGTTGCTTTAAAGTCATAACTTTATTTGACTTTCTCCCTTTAATTTATTTGACACACGTACTGATACCCTAATATAAATTTCCCCTCTTATTTTCTTCCTCCTATACCACCCAATTTTAGTTGATATGTTACTTTCATAGTGTTCCCTTTTCTATTAAATATATTTGATTTGTCAACTTTGGATGATATCTCTCACCTGCAGGTAACAAAGATAAGGAAATGGGAGTACTTTCTCTACCTCTTATCTTTTTACCTTTTCTCTCTAACTTTTGTTAGTATTATAATTTCTTCATTGTCCAGATGGATAACATCTATACTCTATAACGATGTTTCCCACATTTATTTTAGTTAAATGGGTTCGTTGTTAACTGCTAGTTGTTTTTCCAGTCTTTATTAAACTGAAGTGTCTTCTAGTATTTATCCTCTGAATTTTTGATATTTATAATTATTTTATTAGCCTTTTTGTACTTGAACTACAGTTTGGCTAGATTTACAATTTTGAAGTGACAGCTGGTTTTTTTGAGGATTTTGTAGGCATTGCTCTTCTGTCTTCTGGTATGGAATATTGCTTTGAAGAAATCTGAGACTTGCCTGATTTTTTTCTACTTCTGCTTGATGTGATTAGTTCATTTTTCTCATTTCTGCCTTCTGTATTCTTGGAAACATTTTTCTGTTAGGGATATCTTTATGTGCCAGGTATTTTCCTGTGTTGTTTTACTGTGCTCCTTTCCTCCTTTTTCTTTATTTTATTTATTTATTTGAGTTGGGTCTCACTTTGTTGCCCAGGCTGGAAGTGGAAGGATCATGGCTTACCGCAATCTCGACCTCCTGGGCTCATTTGATTCTCCTGCTTCAGTCTCCCAAGTAGCTGGGACACAGGTGCCTGTCACCACGCTTGGCCAATTTTTAAAATTTTTTTTGTGGAAACGAGTTCTTGCTATGTTGCCTAGGCTGGTCTTGAACTTCTGAGCTCAAGCGATCCTCTTGCCTCGGCCTCTCAGAGTGCTGAGATTACAGGCATGAGCTACCACACTCAGCTTTTCCTCCTTTTTAAAATATTGTCTTTGTGGGGATCCTGTGGTGATTCTTTTTAAATTATTTATCATTGAAAAATGTGAGTTTCTCCTAAACCAGCTATCTGCAGAATATCCTATCAGCGAGAGAGATTGAGAGACAGGCCCCAGAGCCCCGTCCTAGACTAGTGAGACTTTTCTTTATTGAACTCAGAGTTTTGCCTACAAGTATACGCAGGCTTTTAGTTCTTCTCACCAGTGAGAATAGACATTGAGGTGGTTTTCATGAAGTCTCTTCTCTGCTGCTGCTGTAGGGACATGCTGCTTCCTGCAAATATGGCTTATCTTTGGAAATCCTTACTCGGCCTCACCTCTGTGCCCACAAGGATCCTTTGCAATCTTTCTGAATTGTTTTGTCTTAGAGTGTCACTTCTACACTGCATAAATTTGAACTTCTCTCTGTAATAGGATGCTAGTTGTTCTCTCTGTAATAGGATACTAATGTAACCCACTTACATTAATATTATATATATTTGATCTAGGGTCTCATTCTGTTTGACACTTCTTGTTTTTATAACATTGAAATTATCTTATGCCATGTGATTTTTTTCTTATGGTTTGTATTTTTGCCCCAGTGGTTATTCTAAAATCATAACTTATCTGATTTTCTTCCTATAATTTCTTTGACATACCTATTAATTCACTAATAGGATCAAGAATCCTGGGGAGTTTCCTTACTATTCCTGCACTCTGGTCTCATCATTGTAAACAGGAGGTTAGGTTTTGCTTTAGGTTGTGCCCTTACCTCTGAGAACTGTGTTTTTGTGAACTCTTTCTGTGAAGCAGCTCTCCCTCCGACTGCTTTCTCCTAAACCCGCAAAGGCTCCATCTTCAGTGCCTCTAGCAGCGTATCTATCTCTGCTGTGATTTGAGGTTTCTGTGTTCTAATTATGTATGTCAAAGATGGGCTTTTTATTGTTTTCCCATTATGTTTTTCTTTCAAAGCTGATTCCAGTGGGAGAAGAGGAAATGCCAAATTTATGCTTCTAGGCAGGTTGCACTTAGGTTGCTAAAACACTTAATATGCCACTGGATGAAGCATTTTATGGAATGTTTATTCTTTTTTTGAATGTTTATTCTTGAATACCAAAACTTTTTTTTGGTAGACTTCAAAAACCCTGGGGCCCTAAGAATAGAAATATTCTTCCTTCTTTAAATGATTTTTGTGATAGCAGTAAGATTTGGGGTATGATTTGTTTTTCTTCCTTCCAGAACCAGGTGGCAAAAGCTATGTCCATTTTTTCCCAAATCATGAATCCAGAAAGCATAACCTGCAGTAATCTAAATGTAAGTGACGTTATGGTTTAAGGTAAGCCTTGAAATGTCATAAAATGATGTCTGATTTTTTTGGCTGTCTCCAATGCCTTGCTCTCCCAAAGTCTTGTTCATATCAAATGAACAGTCATGTAGTGAGCTCCTCTCTGTGAAAACTAACCATTGCTTCCAGGAGTTTGCAAGTAGGCGGGAAAGGTAGGTGGGTGCAGATAGGAGACATGGCTGCACGTGAGGCTGAAACGCGACCAAGGAGGCTGTCGGTGCAGAGAGAGGAAGGGAAGGGAGACAGACCCCTGGTCTCTTTCCTGGGCCTTGAGAGAAGCCTGGTGCTGACGGCATCCCATCGGTGGCGCCTGACTCATGACACTGTGGCAAGCAATGGACTGATGCACCTGCAGCGCCTAAACTCGTGGCTGGCGCATGGCAAGCGTGCGACAAGTGTTGACCGTTCCTGTTCTTAGTCGTGTTGCTGCCTTGCCGCGGCCCATCTGCCCCATGCTTATCTGAGCCACCGGGGTCCCTTGTTTGGTGCCTTGTTGGCCCCAAAGGGGCTGCACTCACACCACCAAGATATGCAGAATCTTAGTCCCTAAAACGGAGAGCAAAGAAAAAGCCAGAGAGGTCTCACAGACTCACAAGACTCATTCAGCAGTACGGCTCCCAGCACATCCTTTACCACTCCCAGTGTCTGGGCAATGAGCCACCTAAACCTTCCTGGACCAATAAAAAAAAAAAGACTGTCTTATTATGAAGGACACCATAGCCCCCGCTAGCCCACCCCTGTTAAGACCTTGTTTGTGTCCTGAGACCATTTGTGCTGTGGGGGGTTGCGAAAGAAAAGCCCCTCATTTTCAGGCGCTTGCAGATCTGAACCAGTCCAGGGGTTGAGATAAAACATTTTCAAAATACACAAATATGTAAACAACAGTATGGCACGAACTAGAACAACATCACCACCGGTGGAGTATTCCAAGACGAGGGAACAAAGGGAGACGGGGCTGGCCAGCAGGAACAAACTAAGAAAACCTTAGGGAGAAGGATGTTCGGTTGAGCGGTGTTCTGGGGGAGGACAGGGCTGTGGGGTTGGAGGGAGGGGAGGTAAAGGGAGATCTGTGTTGGGAGCGTGATCTTGGCGAGGCGACTCTTTAAAAGAATATGAGCTGCCACCTGTAACCACCTCTTACTAGTTCTGCATCCTTGGGGAGGTGGAGTTGCCTCGGTGGACCCCAGTTTCCTTTTTTCCAAAACAATAATAGTAATAGCTTCTATCCTTTTGTTGTGAGGATTGAAATCATGCATATGAAGTAGTTAGCACAGTATCTGGCAGGCAGGCAGTGTCCAGTGAATGTTTACTAATACTAGTAGTATCTGTTTGGCAGGAGTTAAATATAAAGGAATATTTATTCGTAACAAATCCTAGAACCCAATGAAGAGGAATTAGGCATAACTCTGAGCTTCTGAAAGAGAATAGTAACACTTGATGAGTTTCAGTTCTGCCTACAGTAGTTATCCTCAAATGCCACCCCCACACCAGTGCCCAGACGACTTTCCAGAGAAGGAATAGATAAGCCTTTATGGTAAACTTCGGAGAACAAGGTCAGGCAGAAAGTCTGAGATTAGAATACCTTATATTGGACCTCGCGTTTACTTTCAAAGTGCTTTCACGTGAAAGAAAGATGAGCCTGAAGAACCAGAAAGATAGAGGCAGTGATAACAGAGAACCTGAAAAAAAGAGATGGGGTTGGAAGGGAAGAGACTAAATACTAGAAGAGTATCCACAAAGAGACTTTGCAGTTTATAGAGGGCATGAGCCTGGAGGGGAGATGAATGCATCTCAGAGCTTTCCATTCTGAACCCACCTGTAAATACCTGGTAATGGGTCTGATAGGAACTTATGAATTCCAGAAGAAAAGGAAGGAAGAGGACTCAGAAATGAGTTTGTCCGGCATTAATGGTGAGGCGGAGGAAGCATCAGAAAAGACTGGGAAGGACTAGCAGCTGTGTAGAAATCCAGGCAAACTGAGGCACCTTACCTGTCATAGCTGCTGTAGATAGCCCCTGTTCAGGCTGGGGACCAAAGCGGAAACCATAGGTCTGAGCAGGTGTGTCAGCCTGAAGAGATCACAGGCGGGTCTGTGAGGCTGAGGCTGACAAAGGTCCAGGTCCAGCAGTGCAGAGCATTTGAGCCAGTGATACCAGCAAGCCAAACAGACTGGGAGGCCCAGTCTTCCAGCAGGCACCATACATCTTTGATCATCTTCTCTGTTTCCTACCAGATGTGGGCAGCTCTGGTGTCCTAGTATATTAGCCACTTCTGAGATAGAGAGTGGCCTTCAGATGTCTCATCTATTGTGATGGGATGGGACAGGATAGAACTGCTGAGATTAGCAAAAGATTCTTCCACTAAAGCCAAAGCTGTTCAGGTAGGAAAGAAAGACAGGAGAGCAGGGGAAGAGGTGTTTTATGTGGATCATTGGTGGCTTTTCCTAGAGTTGAAGTAAGGTTGGGGAGATGGATAAGAATTGGTGGTGAGAAATTGAAGAGAGAAAGATGGGCAGCATTTTAATTTAATTTAGCTAAGGTACCATGTAGGTGCTTTATATTCATGAGTTCATTTAACACAACTTGTCACAACAGTATTTCTCCATGTTATAGATGAGGAAAATGGCGATTCAAAGGTACGTGAACTACTTAAGTCCTCTCCCAATTGATTAAATACCAGAGTCAGGGTTTTTACACCGGTAACTGGCTGCGAAACCTAGTGTTTCCCCACCACTCCAGAGCTACAGAGATGAGAAGGGTGTGCTTCTTTTAGCCAAGAGTGGACTAGCGACTTCTCCTGAATAATGAAAAGAACACAGGACTGGATGTCAAAAAATGTGATACTCCATTAGTGCATGTCATCCACCCCCCACAGATTTGGCGTTCTTACCTTTCAGTCCCGGCCTGTCTCTTACATCTGTTAAACGAATCTAGTCTTGACTCTGTTTCAAATGGAAAAGTGCTTTGGTAGAGTTAATCGGAGCCTGTTGAGCGCGAGGCTGTCCATTCCCTGTAGGAGGGCTGTGCTGAGCGTGCAGGAGAGAGTGTGTCTGGCGCCAGACAGCAGGAACAGCTCCTCTTCCCTGAGAGCTGGAAGGGAAAGTCAGCCTGTAGACACGGTGGGATGGGCATGTTTCAGGCAAGGACTCTGCAAGGAACCTCGAGTTGATCTTGAATGGGAATAGTCCTCTCCATGAACTGTGCAACAGAATCATTCTCTGTCAGGAAACTTAAAGATAGTTTTATTGTTTAAGAATTCTCAGAAAATTCTTCCAGATGTTCAGTCTAAATTTCTCGTGTTGTGGTGTTTCTTCTTCCTAAGGGACAAAGAAAAAAGGGCTGGTTGCCGTTCTCAGGCTTTGTAATCTTTCAGATTCTGGGCATCTGTTATTAGAGTACACTTTTAAAATGACTTAATGGACCGTGGCTTCTCCGAGGCTGAGTCATCTACTTGTACTCCTTGAAGGCAATTTGTTAATTGTTGAGAAACGGAAGTCTGACAAGTAGGCTGAGGAGAGTCTGTTCAGTCAGCATTAGCAAAAATAAATGAACCCTTTGTTCCTGGTCTTCTTTAAAAATTGATGCCTTGTACTAAAATCTTTTGCCCCTGACAGTTGAAATATGACTTACCTAGTTTTCTCCCTAATCTAATTTTTTTTTAATCAGGATTATTCCTGCCTCCGATTGACCAAGGGCCTGGTTTCCTATTTTCTCAGTTCATACTTAATGCATACTGAATTGACTTAGCAGATCTCATCAAATATGCATGTTGACTCTAACCTTTCAGTCTGAAACCCCTCAGTCTCAAACATAACCTCTCTTTAACAATGCTGCCCAATATCAAAGGATTAATTTTCACATCCAGGTATGTCTGAGAGTAGCAGAGACCAACAAAGGGTAACTTTCCATTGATTCTGTTTGAATTCTAATTATTTTTCTAGAAATCTGGCATGTCTCCAAATGCAGATCCATTTTAGAATTGAATTTTCCTTGGAAGAGCATTGACAAGTGTTCTTGCTGCTTTTATCATTTGTTAACATAGGAGAATGTTTTAATGCTCTTTTCTCCTACCCACTAAAGTTCTAGCTTATACTGGAAAGTCTCCTAGGCTGCATAGGCAGAAAAGGAGACAGGACTCATTTCTCATAAATTCCTTTGTGGCAGCATTTTACCCATATGTATAAGTTAAGAAGTGCATTTGGTGGGGAGCAATGTAGGATTTTTTTAAAAAAAGAGCAGTCCTTTACAAATTAGAGGCTCTTTGTACTTTGCCATTTTAAGCTTGTGATTTCTTCCATTATACCCCTGTTCTAGCAAGAAGTAAGAAAAATGAGAGAAGACAAAAAAGTTGGTCCCTTTAAAAGATACTTTCCCAAATGTCCCATCCAACAACTTGTACTTGTATGCTACAGGCCAGAACTTAATCCCATGGCCACACCTAATCGCAAAGAATCCTGAGAAATATAGTCTTTGACTTCATACATGACAACGATTAAAGTTAGGGAATTCTATTATCAGAAAAGAAAGGGAGAATGGATATTGGATAGAAAACTAGCAACCTCTACCGCACTGTGATATTCTTCAAATACAGCAAACTTAAAAAGAAAATAAAAGAAACAAGAAATGTAAATTTCTGCATGCTCAGGGCTTTTGTTCCCTTTTTTGGTCAAAGGTGTCCAGTAACTTGTCATCTTTCCTGAGGCATTAGAGGGGCAGGGATGTGCTCCTTAAATAGTATTTCTTATTAAAATTTCTCCTGTTCCTTGCTAATTCAGTCTCCATAGTCTCTTGTTTGAAATCTATAGGCCAGTCTGTAATCCCAGCACTTTGGGAGGCCAAGGTGAGGGGATTGCCTGAGCCCACTGGTTCGAGAACAGCCTGGGCAACTTGGTGAGACCTCATCTCTACAGTAAATCAAAAAGTTAGCCGAGCATGCTAGCGTGCTCCCATAGTTCTGGCTACTTGGAAGGCTAAGGCAGAAGGATCGCTGGAGCCCAGCAAGTCGACGCTGGAGCGTGTCACTGCACTCCAGCCTGGGCGATGGAGTGAGACTCCAAGTCAAAAAAAAAAAAAAAGAAAGAAAGAAATCTATAAGATTAAAGCAATGTTCAGTACCCTACTTTAATTTTCTTTAATTTTGCCCTGAAACTTTGGTTTGAGACAAGCCCATAGCTTTAGACTTTCTTTTGCCTTTCATCAGTAACTACCTCATGTGTATTGCTTTTCGTGTGTATTTTAAGATAGAGAACCTTATTCTTGAAATCCCTACTGAGTCAGAGATAGTTCCTAGAGTCAGGAAGAGAATATGGGAAAACTTAAGAAGAAACATAGAAATCTTCTAGGAGTACATCATTTCCAGCATAGGACTGTAGGCCGTTTGTCTTTGTAAATCGTTAAGGGACCCACACTTTTCTTCTTGTTCATTATTTCTGAGGATTGGCTGGGTGCCTGGCACTGGAGAAACAGCCTTGAACAAGGTAGACTTGTCCTTGCTCTTGGAAGGACAAGTCACTGCCAACAAAACTAGGATCGATTCTTATTTTATTTATTTATTTATTTATTTATTTTGAGTTGGAGTCTCACTCTGTCGCCCAGACCGGAGGGCAGTGGCCGG